TGAGATTGAAGTCATGCGAACTAATCCCAAACAACCTTTGATAGGAGCATATTTATGTGACTTAGTTAGCTTGTTTTCTTCATTTTCATAGTTAGGTTGTGTTTATTATAGTGATTTAAGCTATTTTCGTTTGTTTGTAGGTCTAATTGGCAAAGTTGGCAAGAAAGTGCATTTGAAGCATTATAGAGCACTTTTGGGCTAAATTGGATTGCATGCATGTGGAGCACAAGGGATGGACGTTTTTGAAGATCAAGTGAAGCTAGGAACATGCTAAGGAGATGGAGAAATCAATTCAAGACTTGGAAGATGAGTAATCAGCTGCAAAGGCACCTAAAACCCTTCTAGAAGGTTTATCCCTTCTCTTATACATGAGCTGCACCCACCTTTCTAGAAGCCCTAGAAAGGTGGCGCCCCAAACTCTTCTAGAAGGTCAGAAATCAACCAAAACACGCTCTTTCTAGAAGCCCTACAAAAGTGGCGCCCCAAACCCTTCTAGAAACCCTAAAATCTGCACAAACCCTAGTTCTTTTCCACCTTGGATTGAGGCCCAAGCCTTTGTCGAAAATCCTAAGCCTTTTCCCATCAGAATTTGTCAAAACCCTAGGCTATAAATATGTATTTTCAGCCACAAATTCGTAAACCACCCCCATATAATTCTAAAACCCTCTCAGCCGCAGAAACACACCATTTTACACCATTATACACCTTTGCCGCACCCTTGGGAGGAAGAAGAGAAGCTTGATGTGCCTTCCATTGGAGCAAGGTGAAGGGAAATCTATGAGATTCATGTATGGGATTTCATAATGACTATCATGCATATACAAATCAAATTTAATATACAAAAGCAGCGGAAGCATTTATAACAAATTATCAAAGCTATAGTCATGCAAATCCCCTTCAAGGTTCATAGGTTTATTTATAATGCATCAAATAAAATTTTAGAGAAAAGAACAAAGTGAAGGTTTAGTCTTATACCTCTTGATCTAGACTTGAGACCAAGGATGGACCACCTCCAAGCCCTTTGTTCCTTGAACTCCTTGAGCCTAGCTTCCCTCATTGCCTCCTCCACTTTGATAGAATGAGTGCTCCTAGGTTCTCTTCAAGTTTCCAAAGTAGGAAACCTCTAAAGATCCTCACCCACTAGTGTAGTGAGAAGGATGAAGGAATAACCAAAGGGTGAAAGATATGTTAGTAAAATCACCCCAAGGTGGCCGGCCTTTGTGTAGTTCTTAGAGAGATATTCTTTTGCCTCTTTGTTGTTTTTAACCACACAAAAACCCTAAGGAAAATATCACTATAAAGTTCTTTATATAGACAAAGAAACCTAGCCAACAACTTGACTAAATATCTCACCCTTTCCACACCTAAAATGGCCGGCCTCTTTGTTGTTTGTTTGGGCTTTGGGCTTTTATTATTTCAAGTCATCCAATGCTTGAATAAAAGCCCAATGGGTTTAGGCCCAATGGGCCCAATTAAACCCGAACGTTTCTTTAAGCCAAAAACGATCTTTATCGCTTTTATGATTTCTTTAGACTTTCTAAATCAATCACAACACTTAATTAATCCAATTAATTATTTCCTTCATCCATTAGTTACTCACTACAATAGTGTATTGGTGAACAATCTTTTAGGTTCTAATTAGCAAGGCAGTGAGGTGATTGGCATCAATCCAATTGATTATATTTAATTCAATCACTTAGTGAATTAAAACTCATTTTAATTCACCTTTCTTCTTTGACGACTACATTTAATCATCTAGAAGAACTCACAAGCTATGAGTGACATCTAACCATATGTCATAGCTACCCAAGCTAATGTAGAAGTTTATTCGGAAAACCTATTCAGTTGGAATTACAATGTAATTCGATCCTTCTCTAAAACAATACTCTCAATCACATTATTAGGGTATGGATATATTATGTCAAACCCCTAATGTGATTATTCCTTCTTATATGATTCAATTGAGTCGTATAGGAACGCTTTCCTATATTACGCTCGATACTTCGGCCGAAGATTCCCGAATCATATCTTAGAGTATTCTTCCTCTCTTATCGAGGATTAGAGATTCCTTGTTGCGCATACACTTGCCTTCATGACTAAGTGGCTTAACCCCAACTATGCCGTTGACATTCTGATAGAGTGACTTTTGACATAATCAAAGATCAAGTACTTAACCACAAGACAACGACGATGCCTCAGGTCAAAGGACTACTTACATTATTCCAACCATTAGAGTTACTTGCTTGACATGTGAGTAGACCTCCATGCAAGTACTCTCGTTCGATTGTGTTCAGTGAACTCATTCCCTTAATGAGCACCTACATACTTGTCTTAGTGTCACAACACGAATGGGATGAGACTTTCCATCCTTCCATTTAAAGCAGACACAGTATGTACCGGTCTAAGCATTGCCAGTATCCCTCCGACAATCCAATGACCAGGAACCTTTTTGGACATTTGGTTATGTGAAGAAGGTCTCTGTAGTCTAACATCATTAGATTACTTCTTCAATCGATCCATTGTCCATGGATACACTATTTAGGACATATATCGTTTATTGAGATAGTCCTAATTAGTATCTTTGCCATTTGATGTATAAGAGTCATCCATACATCGATTCAATTGTCCTGAAAGGTTTCTTCCAAAGATTGACTTTCAGGGCATATTTCCAACACAAGGACCTTGTGCACAAGCCACCTACAACCATTGGAGTTCTAAGAGTTCTTTCTTCCCTCATTTTAGTTTCAATGTTTATTTCAGTTTGCTTTTCAATTGGTATGAACATATGTAACTAAGTTTTTCTTAGTTAGAGGTGAATTTGAAGCCATAGACATATGTTTAATATGAATTAATTCCTTTCAGTTATTGTTTCATAAAACATGAATGTGATTTACTTATCTATTTGATTGATAACTTATTCTTGTGTGTTGATTAAGGATGCATAATTAGTTTGCATGCATGAATCTGATGCTAAATTATAAGGGAATTTCACCTAATCATTATGAACTTATAATTAAAAGTAGTGGAGATTGCTAGTCACAATCGTGTTAAGTAGATTATTGGTTGGAGTATCATGCAGTTCATAGTTACGATAGCCTTGTCAATGCTTATGATTTCCATGGAACTTAATGATCTTTGAATGTATCTCTATCATGTTGTTCATATAGGGAACTTGAGAAGAATAATTTGGTTGCGATGCGTTGTTCATTCAATTCAATGAATTTAGGGAAATCTGAGAGTTAATTAGTGCATTCACGATTAATTTGGAGCATTGTCATTCATGGTTTAAAGAAACAATACTATAAATCGATTTATGTTGCATATGTTTATGTGTGAAGAAGTACCCTCTAACTAGCTTTTCACCCTTGAATTCACCTTAATTTCGTTTTAACTTACTTTATTTGCTGCAATTTATTTAGTTTTATCAAATTTGTCCAAAAACCCCCTTAGTTCCTCTTTGGTGTCTTAGTTTAGTTAATTGAGTTCAAATTTGTCTAATTTAGAGTTTTGAGTCTTCATAGTCTTAAATTCGTCCAAATCACTCCCTAGAGTCTGTTTTGAGTCTTTTTAACTTAGTTTTGCTGTTTTGAGTCAATTTGGTCAGTTTGAGTCATAAGAGTCTAGTTTGTTGTTTTTTAGTCTAGTTAAGTGTTTTAAAGTTTAAATTGAGTAGATTAGCATCCATTCTAATCCCCAGCCTAAAACGATCCATACTTACATGTACTACAATCATAGGGTTTTAATTTGAGTGTTGGATTATTTCACATCAACCTTGCCAACCTCTACATGATGTTACTGCCGAAGTCAACATTCTAGAAGCTTGTCTGAGGAATTGGTATGCCTAACTATTCATATGCAATGCTTATAGTTCTCATTTGGAAGTTTTGTCAAACTCAGGGGGAGTATCCAGAAGTATACTCACTTGACCTTAATGTACTTTTTTCCCCTAAGCTTACGAGCATTTTTCCCACTGGGTTTTTGCTACCTAGGTTTTGACAAGGCACCCATCCTGGGCTGGTCATACCCTTGTGAGATTCTCTATTTACGTCCAGAAGATGTTTAGTTTTGACTTAATGCAACTTCTCACTTTTCTCCCTAGTCTATGTTTTTTCCCCCACCTTAGGTTTTTCCATAGCGAGGTTTTGTGAGTTTTACCTTTTATGCATTCTTTTGTTGTTTTGAGACTCATATTCGTTCATTGTGCCGACGAATTTATCAATTGTACTTACGTCATCGCTAAAGACCTAATGCACCATTTGTTTGACCCTTTACACACTCAAGGGAGAGTGTTGTTGTCCATTAGATTAGGAATATAATCGTGTAAATCTTATCATATCTGGGATATCTTTGTGGGATTCTACTCTGTCTTAGATTAGATGTTATCCTATTAGAGTTATAATTCTATTGGGGTAATGAATTTACCTTTCTTACAACTATAAATAAAGGCACAATGAGGTGAAATAACACACCTCACAATTACACCTCTCGCTCATTCTCTCTACTATGCCGCACCCACTCTCTCTTTATGTCCTATTTATGTTGTTTAGCAAATTATGCCAACAACAAACTCCCTATTTTAAACTACAATTTTATGCTTCAATCCTATGATATATTGTCAATTAGCTTAATCGTGAACTCAAAACTGGATAAGTCCAACATATCCACTCTAATTATAGCTTAACTGATTCAAAATGCAAAATACGATTAAGCACGAACCACCAAAGCGAAACTAAAGAGTACCCAACACCACCGTCACTAATACAGCCCTAAACCCTATTTGCCACAATCATCTCTCACTACAATTAAAACCTGACATTAACATCCGAAATAAAGCAATTATTTTTCCATGACCGTACATTAAAAAAAAAAAAAAAACAAAAAGGTACAAATCCACCAAAACAAAAAGAGAGAAAACGACAAAGGTTTTTCATTTGTTTTAACGACGTGTCACGCACGGATGACTCCTGTATGCACGCTACACCCATTTTTAGCCAATCACCTCACAAGTACAAAATTCCAAATCCATGACTACGTCATTAATCTTTCCCACGCACCCAAAAAAATAAAAATAAAAACTCTCTCCCTTCCCCCCCCGCTCTGTTTGTATATCTTCCCCACATTCCAAAAACCGTGTTTTCCGCAACGACTCTCTTCGTTTTCGTAGCCTCTTCCCGAGACGTGGATCACCAGAGTGCTCACCTTATCCGTCCATGTCTTCCAATCTCTGACAAAAATATGTTCCCATATATATATATATTTGAAAACAAAAGGGGGAGAAATCGCTTCCCCTGTTTTTTTCCTTCCAAAATCCTAATTCTCCGCATCCCATTTTTCGATTTAGATTTCGATTGTGAGTTAGGGTTTTATGGAGCTGCATGACACAAATTCCATACAAATTGTAAACGGCCCGTCGTTGGCCCACTTCGCCTGGCTCGAAATCCGGTTGTTTTACGTCCGGGTTGAGCCCTGCGTCATCGGGAGTGTTCCCGACTACCTCAACTTGGGATATCGCTTGAAATCAGCGCGACCTGCGTTCCGGCGTCGGACTCGGCCTCGTTCACGCTCCGCCGCGATCGGGTCGATAAGGAGTCGTCGGGGGTGACGTACGTCAGCACCGATAGAGTGAGGGTCACCGGTGGGGTGGAGTTCGAGGTGTGCGAGAACAATGACATGGTTCTGTGTGGGTCTCTGGAGCGGATGGAGGGTGTTTGGCTAGACGGAAATGCGGGGGGATTGGAGATCGATTCGAGAACGGGGTGGAGTATGGATTGCTACATGGCCGCCTCGATCAATTCGGGTTCTTCCTCGTTTTTTCTGCCGAAACTCGGGGTCTCCGCCCCGTCAATTGAGGTTTATATCGCCGGGTATTGCTCCGGTGTGCCTGTGATATTGACAAAAAAACATACAGCATAGTCCGAGGCGGAAGGCCCCCAGGCACGCTGCGCTCGATGCCATTCCGGAGGATGAGGAGGTTGGGAAGGAGCACAGCAAGGGCTGTAATGGGATGATTCACCATCGGAAACTTCAGGTATTGAAATGTTGCCATTGATTTGTAGTTGAAAGTTTTGTTCTTTGTTTTTTGATTGAATTGAATATGGTTTCGGTAATCGTTGGTAGCTAGCTTGTGAATTTGTGAGGACTTTGGTGGTGGCGGTTGTAGAGAATTTGGATTTCTGATTAATTTATGTAGGTGGGAATAATTCATGTCAAAGGATGCACAATAGTTTGTGGCCTTCTAGCATATATGGCTATTGTAGATGGGAAATTGTGTTTGCGAGTGTAGGTACATGTATATGAGGCTCTTAAACTACGCTTTTGATTGAATTGCAGTATTTTGAGGCTCTTCAAAATGCTCCATGAGTCGCTGTTCTGTCGAACATACTTATTTTAATTAAGGGAATGTTGCTGTTAAGTGGGATGATAATATAATCCGCCATTACAGCTACAGGGGACCGAAACTTTGTAGATAATTGTTGTGGATCATGTATTTAATTTATTGCTCTCAAGTTTGATCCAGTACTTTTCAAAACCTGCGGGTTCATATCTCATAGATTATTTATATCACTTGGAAACTATCCATTTTGTGGTTTTCTAAGTGAGGGAGAAGGGGTTGCGTTAAGTTTTTTCCCCTCTAGATATGGTTGTTGAAGGTTTCTGTTTGGATGGAAATGTTTGTTGTTTCTTTGATAACTTACCTCCCATTCTGGGTTGAGAAATGGAAAGTTCCGAAAACTAAATGTTTGTGGTTTTCTGAACATATGATTCCCAAGCTTTTATTGGTGATTAATCTTCCTGCATTTGTTATCGTTTTGGGTTGGGTTAGGCTTTAGCCAATTAGCCCCATTACTTAGCCAAGCCTCTGCACTGGAGGAAAGAAGCATATTTATCATCTGTAGTTTTAAATGATTTGGAGTCCTTGATTGGCGATCCTATGCAGATTAGAGACTCTGAAATTGAAGAGTATGAGTCAGAAGGGAAAATTGGACATCATTTCGACTCCGATGAAATGTACACTGGTGAGGACGGCCAACTCACATGGTTTAATGCTGGTGTTAGAGTTGGTGTTGGAATTAGCCTTGGGATAGGGATTGGTGTTGGATTGCTCATGCGTTCCTATCAAGCGACTACCAGTAATTTCCGGAGGAGGTTTCTCTGAAGTGGATAATCAGAAATGCTTTTGGGAAGGTCAAGGGGAATACAATAATGAAATATTGAAGATTGTGAGGAAGTGAGAACGGCATGAACACAAATCTGTTGAGCATGAGTTTTTGCAGTCGGGTTGGAAGTTTACTTCACTCCAAAGGCCGGTTACTGGACCATTGAAATGTTGTTTCAATGAAACATCGACACGGTGACAATGTGGAGAACCAGCTCAGCCTTCCGAGGCAGGAAAATAAGCTTTGAAGATCTGAGGGAGCTGTAGGTAATAGAAAAGACTTGTTTAGCAGCCGGAACAAGCTTGTACGAGGATTGACTTTGCTTTCTTGAAGATGCATGTATTTGTCTATTTTTTTCTTATCTTGTAGAAAATTTTGCGGTCCTTGGAGTGTTGGTTGGGGCTTCACTTGTACTCACGTGTTTTTATTTTCTCGCTCATTCCTCCATTTAATAAAATTCGATGTGAGAAAGCAGTGCGCAAGCTGTCGATGAATAATTGAATTGTTTCTTCCTGCCCTGTAGCCCGTAGGTAGTAGATACATGTGTTTTGTGATCAGATTTTTTATTTTACATGAGATTATCATACGTCATTCATGAGACTTCTTTTGTACAACTGTTGTACGCAATGCCTTTTCCGCGACGTGTTGGTACAACCATGATTCAGAATCCAAATTATGCAAAATGTGTAGCAGCCAAATCATATTCCCCTCTAATCCAATCTAATAATATAGTAATATACCAAACCGAAACAAACTAAAGCAGAGTTGTACTACAATTACTCGCCCACGCTCCATCGCTTTCTTACCAAGACTCTGAATGGGTTAACTTTGTCAATACCACGCTACTTGGTAGTCCACGTGCTAAGCTGGATTTCCCTTTCTAGTAGATATGCAACTGGCTATTTTATCATAGAACTGTTATTAGCATTCTAGCGAGAAGAGTGCATAAAAATGTAAAATGATAATTTTAGAGTGTTAATAATAATTCTTTTCGTTAGTAAAGGGCAATAACCAAAATAAAATGTTGGAAATAGTAATTTCAAATTATTCCAGCCAGATATGGGTATATTCCAAATGGAAAACTAACCAAAAGCCCCTGAAAAGTTTCCTTTTAATCATAAGGACAAAAAAATTTAGTAATACCCAAACTGGGCATAAGAAAGATGACAAATAAGGGCTTCAAAGTGACAAAACATGCAGAAACTCTTGAAAGCTTTTAGACAATAATTGAATGCAAAATAATAAAGGGCACGAGCTTCAGGATATAAACCATGCAAGAGGATTCACATGGGTACACAACCATGCAGAAGGATTCACATGAGTTCACATGGCCCTTACCAAAGCAAAAAGAAGAAAAGACAAAATCCTGTCAGAATCAGAAACAATGTCTACAGATTCAGAAACAGTGAAGATAAGGCACACCATCCAATTGTAAAGAATTTTGTATGTTAGCATCCTCATTTATTGTATATAAGGAGAATTTCCTTTCATTGTAAAAACACGGAAACAACACAGCAGAGAAACACCATACTCACACCAACCTTCAATCATTAAACACTCAAGCATCCAAAACCTTCCTAGTATCATTTGTAAACATTTCTTTGTAACCACTTCTCTTTGTAAACATTCTATATATCAATAAAAGTTCAAGCGTACATATTCAAGCAATCTCCAAGTCTTAAGTAAGTTTTCTTTTCTTTCTTTAGTGTGTTTGTTTAATTAGACTTCTAGTCCAAAACAGGGAAACACTATTGTAGTTATATTATTAACCTACTAAACTAGTGATCATACTTTGTTCGAGCACTCTGTTATAGTTGAATGTTTGCCATACAAATAACTGGACATTAACCAGGGTACCTCTGAGTTCTTCGTACCTTTGAGTTCAGCCGTTAAGGCCTTATACTTGTACTGTGAGTGGCCGTCATGTTGAAACATGTCGAGTTTCATGTACAAAGTTCTATGTCTAGTTGTTATAATGGTCATCCGACTATTTAACCAAGCCTGTGTTGCGAATTTGGTATCAAAGTCAAGTTTACCATTTTAATAGTAAAATACCTTGAGGACGGAAGCCATTAACACAACTGATATCACACTTGTTTATTTTGTATGAACAACATATATTATTGTCCTTGTAAACCTTGTCAACCACAACCACCAGGTATTTATTGTCCCAGACACCCAACTATAAATAGCATAAAGTGAAGATTAGCACATATATCCAAAAGAATTATCAGTACTTTGAAGAAACAAAAGTTTTATCTTGGCTATCTTGAACATCCTTCATTTATTCGTAGATATAATAACACAGAAGTGCATCATAAAGTTTTAGAAGCAAAAAGAACAACATATCAAGTTTTAGAGACCTTGAGAGAAGAAACAGAATTTCTAAGAAACTAGTTAGCAATAACTTTAGAGAAAGGTAAATTATAGTTTATGATAGATTATCTTAATTTAGAAATTAGTGAACCTCAAAAAAGAAAAATAACCTTAAACCAAAATAGTTTAGTTTGTTATTTTCCATTGAGAAGGCCTAATCATATTTTGCATAGTGAAGAAAATCCACAAGCCAATAGTATTGTAGATCTTATTATTAGTCAGGCAGAAAATATAAAATTAGAAAATAATAAGCATAATCATTTGTTAAACCAGTTGTTAGAGCATTTTCAGAAAAAATCTATAAAAATAATTAGACAAAATTTAGATTATATTACATCTCAGTTAGAAGATAATAATAAAAATATTCAAATGTTTCCTAGCAAAAGAGAGATAAAAGAGCTTATTGACCTCATAGATAGTAAGCCGAAGCAAGTGGAACTTAGATCACTAGAACTAGCAGAGTGAACAAGTTGATAAGTACTTAGATCACTAGAACTTAGATCACTAGAACTTGGTTCAAAAAATTCAATTAGTACAAAAGGAGTTGAGTGAACAAGTTGATAAGTTGCATAATAAAATGGATAAATTATTAGTTTAATGACAAATTCTAGAACTAGCAGAAAATATATCGAAGCTTTAAAAGAAATTAGTAAGTTAGATAAAGAACCAGTAGGTTTAACAGATTTTTCAACACAAGTATCCAGTAGTAATATTCCCATTAGGCAAAATAATTTAATTATTCAATTTCCCCATAACTATAGGATTACATCAAGGCTCATCCTTAAGTCCTTACCTCTTTGCGTTGGTAATGGATGAGTTAACAGGACATATTCAAGATGATATTCCTTGGTGTATGCTTTTCGCAGACGATATAGTGTTGATAAATGAAACTTAGGAACGGGTAAATGCGAAGCTTAACCTTTGGAGAGAAGTGTTGGAATCTAAAGGTCTTCGCCTAAGCCGATCAAAGACAGAATATATGGAGTGCAAATGGAGGCCAAAATGAGTTAGGGGTGAGAATTGGAGATCGGTGATACCAAAGAGCGACTGTTTTCGCTACCTATGATCTATTTTGCAAAAGAACGGAGAATTAGATGAAGATCTCAACCATAAAATACAAGCTGGATGGATGAACTGGAAGAGTGCATCCGGCGTGTTGTGTGACTGCTGTATGCTACTGAAGCTCAAGGAAAAATTTTATAGGACAGCAATAAGGTCGGCGATGCTGTATGGCACGGAATGTTGGGCGGTAAAGCATCAATACATACATAAAATGGGTGTAGCGGAGATGAGGATGCTTGGTGGATGTGTGGGCACATGAGAAAGGATAAGAATAGGAATGAGGATATCTAAGGTAAAGTAGGAGTAGCCAAAATTGAAGGAAAGCTGAGAGAAAATCGGTTACAATGGTTTGGACATGTGCAAAGAAGGCCTACTGACGCTCCAATTAGAAGATGCGACTACGGGACAGAGGTTCAAGGCCGAAGGGGTAGAGGAAGACCTAGAAAAACTTTGGAAGAGACTCTAAGAAAAGACTTAGAGTAATTGGATCTAACGGAGGACATGACACAAGACCGAGCGCAATGGTGTTCTAGGATTCATATAACCGACCCCACTTAGTGAGAAAAGGCTTTGTTGTTGTTGTATTCAATTAGTTTTAAGTTTGGCTGAAAAATTAGATCAAGTTGAAGAACAAATAATATAAATAAACCAAGTTTTACATAACGCATCTTCATCACTTCCACCATCTTTGCTAGATAAATTAGAAAATTTAACTTTAAGTGCAAATAATAATAGAAGATCTAAGCTAAATCCTTTTGATAATAGAAAATGGAACTCTCTAGGAAAAAAGGAAAAGAAGTAGTTAGAGCTGAAGATATTTATCCTAATAAAGAAGAAGCACAAGAATTTATTAGAAGAGGTTTTGAGAGAACACAGAAAAATAAATATAATTTGTATCAATTAGGTTTATTTGAAAACAGAAGTAGAATTGTAAGTAGCATCAGTCAACATGAAGTTATTTGTATCGATAAAGAAGTTACACTTAATTTAATTAGTAAATAAGCAGTTATTGACACACCCCGACCGAGGTCAAGGCATGCTGGCCGTCACGTGAGAGTGACGTAGCCATGTGCACAGTGCGGAAGCGATAAAGATAATAATTATATGAATAATTAAAAACCACATTACTAGATTGCACTTCTAAACAAAAAGGGATAGGAGTTAAGTACAACAGTAACACTCCTAGTCAGAGCATAAAATCTAGGTGCAATCCAGTAGGACAAGTACTAGTTATACAGTACTAGGAATGTCCTACGATTATTTAGACAAGTCAGAACAGCCTACGTCCTCGAGCCACCAATAGCAAACTTACTTAAAACCTGGAGGGGCGCAAAACAGAAAACGTGAGTAGGCAAAAACAAATGTTTTACAAAATCATTTCAGGGTATAAGCATATACAAAAATATATCAGAAATCATATCAAGTCAATTCATGCTTCACATAATCATATGCATATGTATGCTATGCCAAAATATAACAAAGTAAACAGTTCAGGTAAGAATGATTTCATAGAAACGTGATATGTTAGCCGGAACTCCTGTGGTAGTCTGTACGGCTGAATTCATAGCTCAAACTCAATCTAGCCAGAGTCACTACTATGACCTATATGGCAATATACTGCACATAAGTTGGAACCACTAAAAAGGGGTCTGTACGACAAGATTGGGTGTAATATAATTATGCTCAATTTTACTCTCTCAATGCTAGCTGTGCGATAATACGTTAGTCACCTACGAGTCGGAACCACTTATAGTGGTCTGTACGACAAGACTGTGCATCTAATTGGATCCAATGTGAGCATATGGTGCTGGAGGTAACATAATTTACAAGCATGTGCTAGCTCTCTCTGGTTAAATCGCAATCACCCTGGTGCAGGTTATGAGCTCAATGTTTATCAATGCATTTATAATCATTATATTCACAACTAAGGCATTTGGTTCAACTATTGTATGACTGCATCTAACGTATCGTTAGACTGCCTACGTACCTTGAATAGGGATCAAGTCATTCGTAGTTCACATAATCAAACATAACTTACCTGAACTTACCTATGCCTCCACAACACCACATTTATA